AGGCTGTTCCTCCATCCTGTCTGCTGTGGCAGGCTCCTCACAAACACCTGTACTCCTTCCCGCAAACTCCTGTCAGACAGCTGCCATTACAAGAGAGACTTGAGAAATTGGATCACCTCAGAGTCATAACACCTATTTATATCCCCCTGAGCTTTCCCCTGGCTCCTCTGTCTCATATACTATCTCCGTCTTCTGACTACTACAAAGTTTTCTCCTCATGACCTCACCTTTCTTTTCTGAAGGTTACCTCATTTTCCAGAGCATTGCAGCTTCATAGGTAGTAATGGGACCCTTTTCCCCCCTCACAAAATCCCATGAGTTCTGAAATCTCAGGGCAGCAACATCCCATATCCTAGATGAGGCAACCCAATCACTGTATTAAACTCCACTGAACTGAAAAGAAATTAAATTTGTTGCAGTAGGGTTTCCCATTGTCTCAGAAATAATAATTCTGCCTGGTTATATAAAAGCATGGCTCAGTCTATTTTGCTGTGATCATTCTTGCCTAAAGACAAACTCTCATAGTAAGATGGCATTTCCACCACACAAAAACAAGCTCAAAAAAACAGCGGATCTGGTGCCATTTCTCTGCTTTGCTCACTCTGTCATCAGGCATTTGAGCACCTATATGGAAGCTTTAGTCAGGGAAACCTAAAGAGATATTGAGCTGAAAGAACCATGAGCTGAAAGAACCAAAGCTTGGAATGTAGCATTAGAACTTGAGGTCATCCAATGAAGTTGAATGTTGGAAAATTCACGACAGACAAAAGGAAGTGCAGTATGTCTTCACACAGCACATATGTGAACTAAGGGATTCACTCCCATAAGCGGTAGTGATGCCCACCAACTTGGATTAGAGAAATTCATGGAGGATAAGGCTATCAATGACTGTGAATGTGAATATCAGTTGCTGAGGTGCATGTTTGGGGAGAGTGCTCTTTCCCTTAGGTCCTGCCTGCAGACTTCCTTAGGCATCCGGTTGGCTGCCATAAGAACAGGATGCTGAACCAAATGGTCTGATCCAGCGGGAACTCCTTTTATGTACAGTGGTATCCCGGGTTACAGACGCTTCAGGTTACAGTCTCCGCTAACCCAGAAATAACTAAAAAACAATTCTTTTCAAAAGGCTACTGGTGGAGCACAGTTTACACACAGAAGGGTTCAATCTCTGCAATTTGCTAAAAGGGGTTAAATAATTGGTGATGTGAAAGATCTCTGTCTGAGACCCTATAAAGTTGCAGCCAATCCGAGAAGACAATACTGGGCTAGATGAACAAATTGTTTGAGCTGCTTCAGGAAAGCTCCAGATGGAACACAAAAAGGTTCAGTCCTAATAAGAACAGTTTCAGGTTAAGAACGGACCTCCAGAACGAATTAAGTACTTAACCCGAGGTACCACTGTACTTAGGACTGAACCTTTTTGTGTTCCATCTGGAGCTTTCCTGAAGCAGCTCAAACAATTTGTTCATCTAGCCCAGTATTGTCTTCTCTGATTGGCTGCAACTTTATAGGGTCTCAGACAGAGATCTTTCACATCACCAATTATTTAACCCCTTTTAGCAAATTGCAGAGATCAAACCCTTCTGTGTGTAAACTGTGCTCCACCAGTAGCCTTTTGAAAAGAATTGTTTTTTAGTTTTGGGGGTTGTATTTTGTCATTCTTTGTTTCAAATTCTATTTCTGTGTTGTGCATGGATTTTATTCAGTTTTGTAGTCATAAATATTTTTTTTTTGCAGAGGGGTGGTTAAGAAATATTGAAATAAATATTTGTGGCCACGCAAGTTGCTTGGAGGAAACAGCATCATCTGAATCTAGTATGTGTGAGAGGAGGTGGGACAGAGTGAGTTCAGCAGCTACCTGTGATTTGTTTCATCATTTTCTGCTGCTTCCCCTTCTCCCTGTGCTGTACCTGCAAACTCTTCTCCTTTCTAACCCTGCTCCCCATTACTCTATCTGTGAATAAAGAGGTGGTAAACAGTTTTGTTTCTGTAAATAGGTTCGATTGCTCTTCTTGTAGATTACATCACCGAAGTTGGTCCTCCGTGATCTCCGTGATCTCGTAACTGTCCTGTGCACTTAAAAACCCATTCACAGCTTCTTGATTCAGAACACTCCGTTGGTAAATTAATTCTCAGGTTGCCTGAGCTGTGTAAAGTGTTTTCCCCATATCCATTTTAGAAGTCTCTGCTCATTAATTTTATAGAGTGAACCTCTATATTAGCAAGTATAAAGGGAACAATCTCCTTTATTATACTCTGTTAAAATCCTAATAAACTGCCACTTAAAATACCTCCCAACTCCTTTACCTTTGCAATTTTAGCTTTGGAAATCTCATGGTGTGCCTGCAGCAGAGGTGTCAAACTCAATTTATGGAGATGCATGAATTTCATGCTTGAGTATCATTCAGGCACAGTTATACTTGAATGTATACATTACAATGATCATCTGCTGACTGTTTCATGTAGTTTTGCTGGAAAACGGGTGACAACAATATCTGTGGTTTTAGCATCTCATCTGTTTGTTTTGATGTGTTTTAGTCAATCTCCAGCCAGTGCTTTTTTTTTTTTCTTACCCATCCTTGTTACCCGTCCTAGGGAAGATAACAATATAAAAATGCAAAATTGAAGTAAGTTTAAACTATTTTTAATCAGAACAGGGTAGGTCCTAAAAATACATCTCTTATATGTCAAAGGTCAGAGTTTACACAGCAATGTTTGCTGCCTCTTCTCGTAATTTTATGCCCATGGATATATTTAGCCATTCTGAGCCTAAACAGCACACTTAAGATATAGTCCCTCAGATAAGCCATATAGAGGTTAATTAACAATTTGAATACTGTTTAAGAATGGAAGACGAAGTCCTAAGGCTTGGAAAAGAAATAAATTTTATTGTGGTGGGGGGTGAATTTAATTTTACAGGATTAAAATATTCCTAATAAAAAATGTCAAAGACTTCACAAAAAAGGCATACCCTGTTGTTGTTTTTTGGGGGGGTTGCATTTATTAAAAGCCAATTGAAACAAATGGAACATGATAATGTCAGTGGACTTTGTGCTGAATATGGTCCTGGCAGAGTGCCCTCTGGTGGCATAAATAAACTTAGCAAAAAATAATCTTGCAGCAGATTTGACCATTTCTGTATCTCAGTACAGTAAACTATTAATCAAAGCCTCTCTTGGGCTTCACTGATGCTTACAATTATCTACTACATAGCTTGGAAAGTTGTTAGCTTCTTCATTCTGTATGTATTTGGACACATCTTAAGTCAAGATATCATAACCAAATTTTTCATGATGGTTCTGGAGATCAAGGAGGAATATTATTTTGGTCTAATTGGATACAGATGGAAACCATTTTGAATCAAGATGATAGAATGAATCTTTCAAAACAGCACTGATCTTTTGTGCCTTGGGATTCCCAAGCAATGCTGGGCCCTTTTCTGCTGGTTGTTATTTGTTAGTTTAGGAGAGGCTGAGAGACAGTTTCCAGTTAGTTCATAACTCACCTGATCCTCCAGAGATCCTCCACTTGGCAGTCACGCGTTTCTTGAGCAGCAAGAAGGCAGAGATGTAAAGGCTGATGAATCATTCCAGCCCTATTGTATGGACTGATCTTGTGCATTAGCCCAAAGCTGTCTTATATTGCCATCTTTTTAAAGGTTGGGGAAAATTGTCTCATTCCATCAAAGATCCAAGTTCTTTGTCACTAGAGGCTCTACGTGGTGACTTCTGTGGCTTGGACTACCTTTTATCAGGTTCAGCTGGTACGTCAGCTGCAACCATTCCAGTCCATGCATCAGTATCCTCAAGTGGCGCTGCCCTTGTATCTGGCCTGGAAGATGCAACTAGCGTAGTGGCCAGACTGCTCACAGAAGCAAGTTACTGGCAACATGTGACTCCTTTGCTGAGAGAACTGCACTGGTTGAAACTAGCTCAGTAAAATAGGCAGTGTTCTTGCTTTAATTCACAGATCCCTAAACAACTTGGACCCAAAGCACCTTACTCCTTGGGCTCTGCCTGTGATCTTCTGATGGAGCCCCTGTGCTTCCATCAGCCTTCACCAGACACGGGGCTTTTACTGTAGCAAGCCCTGCCCTGTGGAATCCTCGCCAAGGGAGGTCTGGAAGAGTCATTCCTTTAATTCAGAAAGGCCTTTAGAATTATTAGCAACCAGTTTATTGACATACTGTTGATGTTTTTAAGAATGTGATTATTGTAGAATTGTTTCTGTGTTGTATACCCCCTTGTTATATTTCTTATCAAAGTGTGATTTATAAACAAATAAATAAAATATGCACTGGAAGTTGGAACGCTGCTTTATTTTTATTTTTTTTTTAAATGCAGAGCTGCTCCACAGTAATAACCTACGTATAGCTACAAAGAAACACAACAACAGTCACACCTTTGTTTAATTATATGAAGTGGGCAACATAGCATGACTGAATACCAGTTGCTGAGAATCCGAAATGGAGACAGTGCAGTTGCAATCAGGTTTTCCAGGTTTTGCAGGGATTCCACAGGCATCTGCTTGGCCATTGTGAGAACAAGATGCTGGGCTAGGGATGCCTTTGGTGGCCAGGGAAACCACTATGATTTTTATTTTATTTTTTTGCAATAGCCATTTAGCCACACGCTCTTTTCCCCAACTACAAACTGAACACTTCCATCCAAGAAACGGTGGAGCAGTTCCCGCCATCTTATTTAGTTCAAATGCTGATTGGCTTGACTCCTTAGTTTACAAGGCTGGCAAACCTTTAAGTTTAGCTTCAGTTGTGCCATTTCTCTATTATTCTCATCAAGTGTCTGAATTATTGCCAAGGGGTGATATCGAACGTTCCATGCCCCACCCTGCCAATCTTCATAAATCTGAACAAACTGACAGAGAACACTGCAGAGAATGCACCTCCCAATTCCTTACTTTAGAGTGATACACAGGCTCTGGGATGATATACTTTTTTTGAGTAATAAATCCATAAATCATAATTCTTAGCTCAACAGGAATTAATTCTTGGCCTTCACTTAGGTAGTTCATTGACTTTATTATCATCTTCCTACATATTTTAGCATGTAAACGTTACTACAAAATGGATAAAAGTCACATGTGGCAAACCAGAAAGTATACAAACAACATTTTCATTGGGATTGTGGCCACTAACATTAGACACAGTTACACATCACGTATTATCATTATTATTTTTCTGGCATATAAACAAGTTATCTACTCTTTGTCCCTACAACTCAAGAACAATTAATAAGAGGTATAAACATATAACAGATCAGTTTCTTCAATACAAAGCACTACACAAATGTCAAATACATATAAAGTTTGCTTGTAAATATTTATCCATTTAATATTTCAGAGCTAAAAATATATTTCAAAGGCATCTTTATATATTAATTAAATCCATCTTGGGCTGTTGGGATTGACTGAGCTACCTTTCTTGTTTCTACAGCCACCCTCTTCTAGCCAATCTTGCAGATTTACATTCCTGGAAGAGGCTGATGTGGCGCAGCTGAGACTTGAAATCATATTACAGTCTATAAAAATATATATATATTTTATTTCCCTTTCTGAAGGCCTGCACTGCCAGCCCTCATATTCTACTTCTACCCCGCTGTAGCTAGAACTTCAGTACATACAGATACAGAGTACACATGCCACATTCTCCTAGACACAATTATTATTCTAAGTAGCAATGCAATGAAAAGGCAGTATGTAAATAATGCATGTCAGTTCCACTTATTATTATATGGCACAGTCTGTTTAAGGTTAGAAATGCTTTCAGTGTGCTTCCTTTATTATATTTTTCTGCAACCAAACTATTGTTTTTAACAGAAGTCTCCAGTTCAAGAATGCATCCTTGCTCAGAAACGTACATGCCCGAGACCAGCAAGCTTGGAATACTATATTTCAGTTGCATGGAGAGCAGCTGTTTTGTATGGCTCTGGAAGTGGAATTTTGGAAAACTGCATGGAAGGAGTGGGATGACTAAAAAGCCAACATTTTCTACCCTTCTGGGCAGATTCTTTTTAATTCAAAGGAAACAAGTGAACAATTTGTTTCTTCTGTTCTGCATTTTACCAGTTCCTCAATAGGCATGATTTTTGAAGACCCTGTTCTTACGTTTTCACAAGATCGCTTAATTTTGCCTCCTAAATGTCTGAGAAGTTACCAAGGCACAAATGCACTTGCATAAGTAGAATCCTTAAGAGAGGAACTTCATCAGCGCTCCAATTAGGCTGGAATTCTGCTGCTCATGCCATACAACTGCTCTATCAGCTGCACAATCTGTTTATTGGGGCAGTACAGAACCTAGTTCAGCAATGTGCTTCTTCAACATTCAAAGTCAGGCTGCCTTATGAAGAACTGTATGGTTCAAAGAGAGACTGGATCAGGGGATAAAGTATGTAATTAGGGTCCCTTTGGAGAGGGAAAATATATATCCATGTACACAGCCAGTAGAATATGCATGCCCTACCATATTTAAGGTCCAAGACCCAAAGGGCAGGGGGACTACTGAGAAAATGGGGCGGCTGTCAGGATTCTCTGAATTGGTGGTTGTTGCTGGCTCTAATACTCTCTCTTCACTGGAGGGTCCTAGCTCTCCCAAGCAGAGATATTTCTACAAGCAGCCTGAAGATGGGATAAATAATCCATTTACACAACCCAATCCTTTAAGTCCAGCACCATCAATACACTTCCTCACCAACTATTCTGGCACAGTATACAAAACAAAGGCATTTGATGTAGTATCAAGCTCAGAGTAGTCACCTATCCAGGCATGACAAGCTATGAGCCCTGGACTCCTGTTGGGATGAAGGGACCTGACATCTTTTTTTCAGTCAACAAATTAGTAACACTAACTCTCACAAGCAGAGGAAGAGTCAAATCCTGTTACCTAAGGGGTATGGCTAACAATTAAGTCCCATCTCACATTTGACAGTAAGAGTTAACATCTAGTTTTTCAGTAAGACCTCTCAGCGTTTCTTTCTGGCATGCATATTGGTGATAATTTCACTGCGTAGTCTACCAGACATTTTACCTGTAGATGTGCATTAAGATCCTCCTCATCACCTGACTGCATGATACAGATGACCACACTGCGTTGAAGCAAAAGTGCTCATTAAAGGGTAACTTGGCCATCTGCATGGACCCTCTCATTCTGTGCTTCCAATGGCTTGACCTTGCTTCCCCCTTGGATATACTGTCTGTGGGCCCTGCCCCTGAACCAACAATGGTTCACATTTTAAAATATGGGATGGAAACTTAATAAAAGGCCACCTGATTCAGCAACACTATCAAACTAGTCATGTTCTGATTAATTATGAAGTGGCTAAACATATCCAAAACAGAATCTAACAATAGTTATGCACAGTGTTATTAAACATATATAGCTTTATTACAATCTTTCTTGCCACATATTGTAAATTGAGACTAGTACAATCACTGCAACAGTACCAGACAGACAATGAATTAACACCATCCAATCAAGATACGTATAAGGTTACTCTTAACAAGGCAGTATCTTTAGCTAGAAATCTTGGTCCTCTTAATTCTTTTTTTAAATATTGCGCTGATCACAGATCTCTTGCATATTGAATGCAATTTGGCAAATAAACATCTAAAACATAGCAAATTTCAATACATATGCTTCTTAAAAGCACATTTAAAAGTAAGATTTCACAAATGACAGTTTCTATTTACTTTTCTAAATGTCGTTAGGTGCAAGGAAGTCAAAGTATTATGGGTACATAAAAGCTAGATTTAAGCTTGTGAGATACTTCATTTTACATGAGTTTTGGTCCTGCTGAGAGACTGATTAAAGGTTATGTGCAAATGCATGTAACAGATTCCTGATGCTGTACATTTTAAAGAACAGATTTGGAAGAGGGAGGCTTTAAGTGAAGTAGTGGAGGGAGTGCTTAACCCCTTCCCCTGCCCATCATTTTTACGCTCAAAACCATTGCCTCACAAAGCCATTTGTCTTTTTTTGAAAAACAGAAAGCTTCAGAGCTCGATCACATATACTTGCACATAAGATCTTGTTAGCCCCTATGCTTCACAAAGAACTGAAACCACAATAAGAAAAATAGCTGCACGGGTACATTGAGAAATCTTTACAAAAAGTGGAATTAAACACAAATTAGCAACAGTAGATGGCAACACCAGCTTTCCAGTTGAAGACAATCATAAAAACAGCTGCAGTATTTACTTAACCCGTGCCTCTGGGACTATTAGAGACACACGCTGATTTGCTTTAAGCTCATCTTTACTTTCAGCCTGATTCTCTGGGCGAGCTAGTCCCGGTCTACCCTATATATGGGGGCTGGTGGACGGAAGAATTCCAGATCCTTTCAAAAAAAGCAGCTTAAGTGGTCATGGTGGAGAGAATTAGCTTCATTCGAGTTTCACTAGGCAGGGGTGGTGAGCTTGGAGCTCTCCAGATGTTTAGCACTTTTGCTCCCATCCACTCCAGCCAGCATGGCCAATGATCAGGGTAATGGGAATTGCGGTTCAACATCTGAAGGGTACCACGTTGGCCACCTCTGACCTATGGCTATAGAAAGACTTGGCCTCTCTCCAGATCTATCTCATTGCTCTAGTGAAAGACAATGGCCAAAGGGATCTGATCTGACTTTATCAGCTTTTCTTCTTTCTCTCTCCATAACTTATCCGCTGCAGAAGCTGATACACTGGTGCAGAGGATGGGGTCTCACATCTGCAGGGACTGTATTGGCTGGCACCCTATTAAGGGAAAGGCTCAGGTGGCATCAGTAAGGGCGGCAGCTGATAGGTTCACGCACTGCAGTTCTTTCTGGAGGGTAAGGCTCCCTATGGGCGGATCTGTAAATAGGTCTTGACCCTTATGAGATGCTCACTCCTTTAAATAAATGTTCCAAAGTATAAAAGGGTGAAGTAGAATATTTAATAGCTGTTCCATCTGCATCTAATTCCAAAAAAAATCATTGGAAACCTTGGGTGTCTGTTACAGCTAAACGAAAAGAAAACTATAAGAAAACTGATCTGACATGGTTTTTGCTAGGTTTATGCGGAGTATTGCTTACATTTTTTCAAGGGCTGGGAAATGATGACAGGACAAGAAATAAATGCTGCCCAAACCATATTAAAGAGAAATGTCTCTAAAAACTGCAGCAATTAAAAATAGCCTGCAATAGCCTATTGGGATTTTTAAAAATGCTTTTTTTCCCAGTGATTCTCCTGATAAGCCTTAGAATACTGGAATCAGGTTCTAACATGTTAGCAGCATAAGACTTACTTAAAATAAGGGAGTGCTGTAAATTAATCTGGGTAGAATCAAGACCTAATATGAATAATATTTTCTCTAAAAATCTCACTAAAAATTAATATTTTTACTTGTGCTTTTTTGATGTGCATTTTGTCCTGCGTATGCTAGAAATTAAGTTGAAAATTGGGAGGGATAAAGAGTTTCCCTTTCTCTGGATTCCTGGCTAAAATCACAGTTCATATTGGCTTGTCCAGTGTTCTATGGGGAAAGTATTTGGGAAAGTTTCATATATGAAAATCCCACATTAAATCAAAATTCACCTCAACAATAGTAGTATTTTTAAAAAAGCATACCTAATGAAACTACTTATCCTCATTTATCTATGGAAATCAAGTGCTGCAATTTTAATGAATGTCTAATAGCCCCAATACATTGAAGAGGGACAAAGACAGTATTATGTGGATTTTGTAGGATCTTAATTAACTCACATACCAGGAAGGCTCAACTTACAGCAGATCTATATAGCAATGGGTAGTTTTCAAGATTCTTTATGTATTGTATGAAAAAAGTGTATGAATATTTTATTGCTATAAATTTATTGATATTTTACCAGTAACAAACCCACCAAGCACAGAAGGCCAGGACTGATCATGACAAGCTTCCTTAAGCTGCTGGAGATGTTAACATGGAATGTTGTACTCAAAAAGAAACTTTAATCCTTTGAGTGTTCTGTGATCAGATGGGGTTAATAGTTAAAATGTATTTGTGCTTTAGAAGTTGTCTCTCCACACAGCTACGTTTTGCTCAACAACTATATCCCTCCAACCTGAAAATTGTGTTGAATGTCGTTATCAATACAGGGCAGTGTATATTGTTGTATGAGAATAGGAAAATGATTACTGGTTTGCAGCTGTTAACCTAAGAGCCTACTTTGGCTCTGTCAGCATGAGCAAGGGCAAGAATCTAATGCAATTAAAACTACCCTTTTTTAATTTATAAAAGGCAATTTCCCAACAATGGTGACTAAAAGGAGTAACAGTAAAATCCAGTAATTAGTTACATGGAATTTCCCTTCAGATTTGCTAAAAGTAAGGAAAAGTGTTGGGGACTGAGCCCTGAAACTAACTGTAAACACTGTGAAAAAGCAAAACCTCAGCTTGATGTAAGGCATAGACATACATAAGCCACATTGCCATTGTTGGTTCTGCTATAGAAACCCAGGTATTATTTCCCATGGCAGCCAGTCCATTCAGGGCATATTTGGATGTTGCACAGAAGTAATGGGAAGACAGTATAGGAAACTCTTGTGTTTTGCCTTTTCATGCTTTCTGAAATGGGTACTCTTCCAAGGTGAGATGAGCCACTCATGCTCTTTCTCATCTCACTTCTGTATAATATATGAAGCACCCTCAGTTGATGAATAACTAAATGAGTGAGTGAGTGAATGAATGAATGAATGTATGGTGCCATTCCAAAGCTTCCTATATAACCGTTTTGTGGTAAGAGAAGCAAACACAGCTTCAGAAACTAGTAGAGACCAGGAAAAAATATATTAGGAAAGCACTCCAAGGATGCGATGCAGTAGTTCCAAAAGATCTCTTAGGGATACTTAGGGTGCTATGAATCAATGATGGAAGGCTGTGGCTGGAATTTGTAGGGAATGCTGGGTCAATATATGTTCTGAAAAATAGCAATTCCTAATACTTTGAAGTCTGCAGGCAATGTGTATACAATGTAAAGCTTTTGTAAACTTCAGCTCATGTGTGCGTAAGGTTTGGCCTCTGAGATGTTGCTGAACTACAACTCCCATTGTTCCTGACTTTTGGTCATACCTGCTAGGGTTGATGGGAGATGCAGTTCAGTAACGTCTGGAGAGCCAAAGGTTCCCCACTCATACTGTAGCTGGTCTGATGAGTTTCACCACCTTCCTGTGATTATGCCCCATGTTGCTGTCGTGCTCATCTGAGGCTGGTGGGAAAAGCTTTTATTGAGAAAAACCTTGGCAGGCCATACATTGTCCTATCCCTGATACAGGGAAGGGTGGGGAACTTGTGTGACACTGGGGACCACAGTGGAAATAAGTTATCAACAAGCTTACAACCACAATGATTAGACAAATGGGTATTTTAAATGAATGAAAAAGCTGAAATGTTTCAATTGCAGCCCCTCATTTTTAGAATTTTGTCCCCATCAAGGCCTACCTTGAACCAACATAAATATTGTTTTGGCACCAGGCATATGACTGTTAATGTAACATTCTTATGTACAGCTAGACATTTAAATTGGTTTGCTTAGTGACAATTATGAACATGTTTCTTTGGGGGGGCGTTATGGTAGTGGGGGCAAGGCTGGTGTTGCTTTTTGAATTGTATTGAATAATTTGTTGGTTGCTGTTACCCCTGTTTTTAGTTCTTGTATATTTCTATATTGTTTGTATGTTATATTGTAGATCACCTCAAGACCATTTTTAGTAGAAGGCATCTAAGAAATTTAAAACATTGCAATAAAGTAATTAAAAGCTGATTTTTAACAACAGCAAACAACAGTTTGCACAATGGAGCTTTAAGACTCAAGCAGCACTCCTGTTAATGGCAGCACTTCTGCAGAAATCCTGTTTTCCAGAGAGATCCAGAGAAAAGGATGTTCTAATAAAAATTAGGCGAAAAGTACCCTGGTCATTTGCAAGGAAAGAGGAAGTAACACTGCAACAAGTGTTTTACAAAGTGCCATGGATTGCTTCAATACCCTGTTTTATCTCAAGAAAATAACAAGAAATAAAACAAAGAGTACAAATGTCAATTTATCCATAATTCTTCTGGGGGCAGGGAACAGAGAGACAGAGAGAAGAGAAACAGGAAAACAGGTTTAAAATTCTAAGTTGAATTAATATGCTTAGTCCTGGCACTATTAAATTATCAACAACTAAGAGGAACTGAAATTGTTTTAATAACTTTAAGAGATTATTGCATGTAACAGAACCTAGCACTCTGTGTTGATTCCCAAGGTATTCAGACATGCTCACTGGAGCATCCAGACCGTCATTTATTTTTTCAAGTTGAAATTTAACAATAACTCCTGTAAAATTCCTGAAGGTTTGGGCCTTGCATTGATAAATAATATGGGTAAAATGCCTCCCAAACGTCTACGGTGCAACCTATATTCATTTCTATCAGGCTTGCATGAGATTCCTGCCTAAGTGTCATTGAAAGGCATGGAGGTTGTACAAGAGCAGTGGTTGGTGTGTAGTGCCTTTGGTGGATGTGTATGTCTGGAGAAACCTATTGATTATACAGTCTTTTTTTAATCATCCATCCCAGAAGCAGGAGCACGCTAACCAGTGGTCAAAAACAGTGAATTGGTCTCAACAAACAACAAAGACTTTCACTCCCCTCCTAGCCATTACAAGATGAAATGGGATATTCAGGTTTCATAAGAAGTACTTATTAAGGAAACTTGCATCTTGTGAGTCTTTTGATAAAACTGTGTCAAGTGTATTCTATCAGAGGTAGAACCACCATTGTCTTTTACTCATCTGTGTTTTTTGTGGAGAGAAAGAAGGGGGAAACAAAACAAAACAAAACAAAACAAAACAAAACAAAAAAACCTGACAACTTTTGGTTGCTTAATATTAAAGGGTTAGCACCTCTGGATAGTGGAGTCTTGCAATTTTTCACAGACCAGACATGGGAGCTGTTCTCAACAACACATTCTTATACTTCCAAGGGCTGTACAGACAGAGAACCTAAAAGCTAACCATCTGCAGACCCCTCTCCACACTTGGCCTGAATCTCTCTCTACTTTTTGAGGTACTGAACATTGAAGCAGGCTGCCAAACCACTGCATTTAAGGGGAGAGGTAACCTGCTCAATTGGCACAAGATGCTTTCCCACAGTTTATACACTCCAGACAATCATTCCACTAACAAATGCATTCTGAAAGTCTTTGGCAAGGCAAGAAACCTTGTGCTCCCAAACCCAGGGCTCCCAACAAGACTGAATTGATCTGACAGCCATCTTCATACCTGGGAGGGAGTTGCAATATACACCTAGCTTTTTTCATTCTTCTTAATTCGAGCAAGGCCAGCACATGTGCTTGGTAGTGGATCTCATCTATGCTGGGCACTATTTCATGGAAGTCAGGTTTCTGTCACAGATCTAAGGCAAACATTACAATTTACAGGAAAGAAAATGAGGACATCAATACATTGTGCGTTGTTAGGAGATGTACAACCTTTATAACACAGTAGCTTTTATTATTATCTCTGGGTTTTCTATGTCCTTTTTGCTTTGGACCATCCGCAGTTCCAGCTGGGCTGAATTGGGTTTGTTTCCTTCTCCAGCTTGGGCTTAAAAACAAAAGCAACAAAGAGACTGAAATGCCACAGGTGTTTAATTTTAACAAAAGCAGCCCAGAAGAAAAACTTGTCCCTCCCAGCCCTTCACTCCTTCCCGCCCACCCCCAAATCAATATGCTTGAATCTCAGCTCTACTGCAATTCAGGATGCAACAAGAGCACTGCAAGATCAGACCAAAGGTCCATCTCATGCAGCCCTTTGTTCTCCTCATTGACCAGCCAGATGCCTTTGGGAAGCCCACAAGCAATAAAACAACATGCCCCCACTCTTTCTTTCCCAGCAGAATACGGCCTCTGAACACAAAGTACAACTGAGCTGGTATTAAAAGCCGTCCAAGCCACCTTGGGCAGCACACTCCTTAATTTTTTGTTATCTTGAGGATGGAGAACCTGTGGCCCTTCAGATGCTGATAGCCTTCAACTCCCAACAGCCCCAGTCACAATGGATAAGGGTCAAGGATTCTAGGAGTTGTGGACCAGGAGCACCAGGAGAGCTGCTGGATCAGGCCACTGGCACATCTAGTCTAGAATCTCTCAGTGGCTCCCCAGAAGCTCACAAGCAGGACCTGACAAACAGCACACTCTGCTGGGCCTCCCAGCAACTGGCATTTAGACGCATGCTGCCTTCAACAATGGAGGTAGAACACAACCATAATGGGTAGTAGCCACTGATAGCTTTATCCCCCATGAATTTGTCTAACCCTCTCTTAAAGTCATCTGAGTTGGTGGCCATCACTATTTCACTGGATGACTCCCTGAGGGAAAAATACAGGGTTTCTATTTGCCGTCTCTAAGCCAATGTGGTGCCTTCCAGACGTACAACCCCCCATGATCCTTGACTCTTGGTGATGCTGGCTTGGGGTGATTGGAGTTGTAGTCAAACTATCTAGACGGTATTATGTTGGCCACAGCTGCTCTAAACCACACATAATTTTATTAGCATCTTTCATGCCCGCCCACCCTCAGAATAGTTTTCCCAACCCCGAAGTGTAAATAAGGCCCTTCCTTTTGGTCATAAACAATTACATTCAGCACAAATTGCATTAAAGCTGATTATAATAGAGCACAATTCAAAATATTAATTGATGTGCATGATCTGTGTAGCATTGTTTTACAGAGTGGAATTTGTTTTTATATATAATTTTTTATTGAAACTTTACAACGTACAATGCAATAAACACCACCAAACTAATCTAAATAAAAATAAAGAAGAAAGGGAAAAGGAAAACAAAAAAGAAAGAAAACGAGAAAGAAAAACAAAAAACAAAAAGAGAAAATAGAAGAGGAGAGAGAGAGAGAGAGAGAGAGAGAGAGAGAGAGAGAATAAAATACAGAGCTCTCTGTCATGGGTAGATTTTAGCCCTTATCTCACACAAAAGGGGGTGGACCCTCCCATCTCTCACCTGGGAGATTTACAGAGTGGAATTTGTAAGTACTGCTCCTTATTTGCCCCTTAATTTGTAAGCATTGAGCCACTGCATGAAATTAAAGGAGTAATAGATGGTCAATTTAAAATCATGTTCATACCAAACTCAACTGAATTGTATATGGGCTGTACTACTTCGCTATGCCCCCTCCCTAATATGTATTTTCCAGTAATGGTAAATGAATGAATTCAGAAGCATGGTGTAAATAGGTTACCTTTTGCACACGTTATGGTTCTTTGCAAAACATGCTGCATGGCTGACACTGTCTTTTCACATGCCACCTGCAATTGGAAGGAAAATATTTCAGTTTCATTGGCACTTTATTGACTCAGGCCAGTAGCACTACTGCTTTACTGACACTGAAGACAATTTGTTGGAGCTGTTTTCTTTGAAATATGTGCCCATGGGGAGAAACATCAAATTTAAATGCAATTTCATTAGGAATATGCAGGAGAAACAGAGTTGTAGGTAGCAGGCTTTATTTCTAAACAAAGCCTTTGGCACGTTATATTCTATTATTCCCCGAAATGAAAGATTGAAGACAGAATGGTATATAACACAATACAGATATTCTGGGCGTCAGCATTTAATACATAAAATATTTTAACATGGTATTCTCTTGCTTTTTCAGAAATTTTGAGACAATACCTCAGAAAGCTATAGTTGCTCATGGTATGTGCAAACATATGATGCTGTTGCCTTATACCAAATCAACCTATCAGTTCATCTACAACCACTCCCACCTCAGTATTGCCTATTCTGACTTGTAGCAACCTTCCAAAGTGTCAAGCACCAGTATTTTCCAACCCTACTGCCCAAAAACCTTCAACGTGGAGAGTATTTTAACTTGTATGCACCTTTTTGTTTTATTTTGACACTTCATAGCCTCTGTTCAAGCTGATCTTGCAGGTTTCCATAGCCCTTACTCCACCTAGGAACTAGCACCCAGCAGCATAACCAGCACTGATGCAGTAGATAGGTGTATAATTTGACACTGGAAGCGCATGAAGCCAACACTATCACTTGCTCATTCTCATACCACTAACCTATGGTTTACTGATACATCTGAACAAGGGCATTCATCCTCTATTGCTTTATATGGCCTCGTTTCCTTATCCTGTCGTCTTCATTTACAAATTTACATACTAAGAATTTAAAGTAAAGAAATGAGAATATTTTTTCTGTCATTGAGGCAGGAAGGAAAACTGGGGAAAGTGTCTGTCCATACTTTTAGATTGTCTGGATGCTTGTGGGTCCAGGCCAAGAGCATGGCAGCAAACAGGTCTCCCGTACCAACGAAGACAGCATCTACTTTAGGAGACTCCATTCGGATCCTCTGTGTCACTGTGGTCCCATCTTGTGAAGCTGTCAAGGAAGGCTCATATTTATATTCTTCCCAGTTTAATGTAATCAAACAGGAATTTGAGGTTAACTCATAGGTGGGCAACATAGCAACCATGCGCCAAATACAAGTGTCTACAAGTGACTTCCCCTACATGTGAAGGAAGGCTCTTGCAAATTGAGCAGACAAGGCCAATTGTGGTCCTTTCCTTTGGACCACACCAGCTAGGCAAGAGCGGGGTCTTGTCATCCGAGCAGCCCATGTACTCCTTACACACTGCCCAGGCTTGCACCCCGGGGAGCTCACTTCAGTGCTGTTAATGCAGTGAGCTGACTTCAACCCTGGCAGCACACTCCATTGTCTCTAGAGATGGATGGATGCCGATGCCAACAACAACAACCACAACAATAACAAGTGCCTGCAAAATGTATTAGTAATATCTCAAAAGAAAGGTAACTTTTACATGTATCTGTATTTATATATGAAACTTAATTTTCAATAAATGTTCTCCTTTATTGTGGGGTGTATTTTTAATGTGTATGCACATGACAAAGCAGGGCTTTCTCACTTAAACAAATAAATCAACTTACTTTTCCTGTGGCTTCCTAATGCTATCAGGTAATCATCTCCTGAAGGTGCCTGGAGGTCTGAGCTGGTGATTACAACAGTCTCGGGTCCCATATTGTGGAGCATATCCATTACCTTTCCATGGACCAAAATATTAAACAGTTAATTCTCATTGAAGAATAATGACAAATAGTTAAAAGTCCCAGCATTTCTCTAAAAGGCAGGCACTAATGTAAAATACAAACTTACAAGTATGTTATATTTAACATTTAAAAAGTTTGTATTAGTGAGAGCCACTATTTTTAATACCCTCCACCTCACGAAAGGCCAAGTTGCTCCAGTAACGCTACTTTTGACAATTTGGGCTCTTACAGTGCAATTCTATACATGTCTGCTTAGAACAGGGGCTGTCAACCTGGTCCCTGCTGCCCACTAGTGGGCATTTCAGGATTCTAGGTGGGCGGCAGGGGGTTCTATGGCACAAGCTGAATCCTCCTTCCATTGAGCACTGGAGAGCAGTAAAGAAATTTTACCATCAAGAAAGATGCATTAGTGGGCAGTAAGTGTAAAAAGGTTGACTACCCCTGGCTTAGAAGCAAGTCCCCTTGCTTTCAATAAGTCTTATTCCCAATTAAGTTGGTATAAGATTGCTGCCTTGGAAATAACTCTTCTTCACACAGTCCATTTTTGTTTCTAACAAAAAGAAAGGAAAGCAGTCTTCTTTCTCTAGGATAACAAAGTAGGATATCTGCATGGAAAACAAGAAGGCCTGGGCTTAGTATCCTGTTTGTGCCAAGAGACACAGGGCTGTTGCACAGTGACTACATGTGGGTATACTGCATGTATCAGGTGTGCTCTCCTGCCTCCCAGAGCCATATTTACCGTGCTAAGATGGGACCAAACAAAATATTTATCAGAACCTTCACAAAACTAAAATTCCCAGGGTTATTTTGGGGAAGCCGCTGTAATTAAACTAGTCTAAACTTGGCTTTGATTTACTGCATAGGTGGTTCTCAGCTCATAACTTTGCGGTTGTGGAAACAAAGGCCAAGGTTGTACATGATGTATTGCATGCCAGTGTGCCCCTGAGGGTAGCTGGGGCTCACTTTATGAGAATATTTCTAATGCCTGATTCAGCCAGCTCTTTGTTCCAAAACAAGTGTTCAGATAATAAAAAAAAACACCTGTGTTAACTTGAGTGTTGCAGTATAATTGAGATGGAATTGTGTTTTAATGAGATGGCATTGTAACCACATTGTTTTATGCCTGGCTGAAATTTTATTATGTTTAAAGAGATATTTTTTCCCTTTCAGAATGGGACTGAGCAAGCAGACAGACTGATAGAAAATTCTTCAGTAAAGATTTTGGAATGTGACTAGAAAATCCATAGACCTAAAGTTAGCATCTTATTAACTTGTCAGGCAGTCCAGAGACTACTTAACTTGGGCTTGCTTCCATTAATGAGACTGAAAATGGCAAACAAAGCATTATAATTAGCAATGAAAGACAGGAGGGGTATTCCCTGGTGACTCCAGAAGCATTAAAAAAAAAAGGAGAATAAGGATAAAAATAGCCGTAATAGTCGGGAGATGCTTTCTGACGCAGGGAAAAGTGTAATCTGTGGGCTGACATTCAATTGGCTTTGCTGGGAGAAAAACTGCAAAGATCAGGGGCCTGTTTATTCTTGGCATCAGGATATTTGTCTAGACAGAACCTAATTAGCGAAACTTAACATCAGAGGACTTTACTTACAGGAATCAATAGCATTCAGTAGATTGCTGGAATATCTACGCTTCAGTACCCAATTATCCCATTTAAAGACAGGGTGTGTTTACCAGAAATTTAAGACTACAATCAAGTGGTAAATTATATCTATAGGACTTCCATAGCTATATCAGTGCAGAACTGTGTCATGAAAACACATTCGTGACCATAACTATTAGCACAGTTGTTCCCAAACATTTCCCCCCTCCACAGACCACTTGAAAATTGCCAAGGGTTTTGGAGGATCACTCATGGGTTGTTGTTTTTTCTGCTTCTTGTAGCACTTGTAATGTGCTGTGCTACAGATCTCTATTGCTTCTTTTATTTCTTATATATTGCATGTTATGTGAATTCCATAAACTTCAAATTGCAATACAATACAAGAAATAAAAATCAATAAAAATACAATTAAAAATCAATATGAATATTTACTGTGTGGGATGTACCACCTGCCTTCTTCAACCACAAATCCACACATATGCTGCAGACCAGTTTGCAAAACAACAACAAACCTATGGTTACGTGAAACATATTCAATAAACACACAAGACGTATCCGGCTGTACTTTTGAATAAATAAGGTATACTATTCATTGTATCAAATGTAGATTTCAACAGAAGTAGCTCATAAAGTTCAACGGAAAAAGCAGAAGACCCAGTGGATCAGTTCATTCTGTAATCAGTTCATGCATAAGGTCCATATGTGTACAGTGGTACCTTGGGTTACATACGCTTCAGGTTAAATACGCTTCAGGCTACAGACTCTGCTAACCCGGAAATAGTACTTCGGGTTAAGAACTTTGCTTCAGGATAGGAACAGAAATCGTGCTTCAGCGGTGCAGCAGGAGGCTCCATTAGCTAAAGTGGTGCTTCAGGTTAAGAACAGTTTCAGGTTAAGAACAGACCTCCGGAACGAATTAAGTACTTAACCCGAGGTACCACTGTATAAGTGTCTGTTCCACCTGTCTGTTCTTGAAGTTCAACAATCCACATAAAAGGTTGTTACTGTGGGTAAAACCTCAGCGCCTAGGACTTGCCGATCGCATGGTTGGCGGTTCGAATCCCCGCGGCGGGGTGCGCTCCCGTCGCTCGGTCCCAGCGCCTGCCAACCTAGCAGTTCGAAAGCACCCCCGGGTGCAAGTAGATAAATAGGGACCGCTTACCAGCGGGAAGGTAAACGGCGTTCCGTGTGCTGCGCTGGCTCGCCAGATGCAGCTTGTCACGCTGGCCACGTGACCCGGAAATGTCTGCGGACAGCGCTGGCTCCCGGCCTATAGAGTGAGATGAGCGCACAACCCTAGAGTCTGGCAAGACTGGGCCGTACAGGCAGGGGTACCTTTACCTTTACAGTTCCACAGAATCCTGTCACAGAGTCTAAGACAAGGATTTCTGGAATATAATAATAATAATAATAATAATAATAATAATAATAATAATAATAATAATAATTTATTATTTATACCCCGCCCATCTGGCTGGGCCTCCCCAGCCACTCTGGGCGGCTTCCATAAAAACTACAAATACAGTAAAATATCACACGTTAAAAACTTCCCTGAACAGGGCTGCCTTAAGATGTCTTCTGAATGTCAGGTAGTTGTTTATCGCTTTGACATCTGCTGGAAGGGCGTTCCACAGGGCGGGCGCCACTACCGAGAAGGCCCTCTGCCTGGTTCCCTGTAGCTTTGCTTCTCGCAATGAGGGAACCGCCAGAAGGCCTTGTTTCGCCGTCCTGAATGCATGAACTGATTACAGAATGAACTGATCCACTGGGTCATCTGCTTTTTCCGTTGAACTTTATGAGCTACTTCTGTTGAAATCTACATTTGATACAATGAATAGTATACCTTATTTATTCAAAAGTGCAGCCGGTTACGTCTTGTGTGTTTATTGCAGATCACCATTTAGCAACCCTTGATCTAACACATAATTATCACAGCAGTAACAGTTACTACATTCTAACAATAGTTCTATCTCAAACACAATTATTCCGATTTATCTTTTTATACAGCACACTTTTTAAATGTGCAGAGATACTCCACAATTGCCACTTTAGTTTAGCATCACAGTTTTCTGTGCCCGTTAACTGAATCTGCCCGGCCTGGATGCCAGCCTGGCTCTTTCTTCTGTCATCATGAATCAAAGCCTAAAGGAACAGCTCGCCATGCATCCATAGTACACTGACAAAACTATCTTCTCTTATTAACAATAGGGGGGAACTACCAAGAGCAAGAACTCAGGGCTCCTTTCATACCACTTATTGAATGCTGCATGAGACCCTGGTTTGCTGACAATAGAAGCTGTTCAGCTTATTATTTTTATTGTGGCTGATGGTTAAATTAATGGGGACTTCTTTGTGGGTTGCCATGAATTTGTTTTGGAAGTAAAGTAGTGCCAGGAGTTAAGATGTGGAATCAGGAGACTTGAACAAAGACATAATTGCACTAAAAGATCTTAGGGAAGTGTCTTAATCAACCTTATGGTAAAGTCAGGATTGCCATATTTCAAAAAGTGGAAACCCAGACAATTTACGAAAATTCAGTCCGGATGCCATTTTCAATGGGCAAATCCCAGATATGTCCAGGAAATTACGGACGTAAGGCAGCCCTAGGTAAAGTGGAATATGCTTATACTCATTTCCTACTATTGTTGTCACAGCACCAGCATGTAAGCACCAGGGGGCAGTACTGCAAAGTAAAGCAATGCTGAAAATCAGTTTTGAATTGCAAGTGTTGTTTTCTCCAGTGTTGAGTTCATTTCTCCGTGATTTTTTCAAAACCAAAAAAAAGTTGCTCTATGTGCAGAATAAAGCACTGAATCATTAACATTTTTACAACGACATAGTTAATCCTAAACACTGTGGCTTTAAGTATGGCTGAGTCCCAGTTGATACTTTAAAACAGTTGTGGGCAACCTGCAACCCTTGGGCCCAGTTTCAAAAACCATCTGCAAGTGATGAGGTTAATTCTTGGGCATAGTGTGCCATAGTTTGCTTCTTTCTCGGTCATTTTGCAGCTGACTTTTGCTGAGCTAAACCATAGTCTGGCTTAGTGTGTCATCCGAACTTGGGCTTGTGGCTTATTTCTCCTGGACAAACCACAAGTTGCAAGCCATAGGCCAAACTTCAGTTACCCACTTGTGGTTTGTTTGGAGAGAGCTAAACTACGAGCCTGGATTCAGACAGCTCAGCAAAGTGCATCATCATCATGACCAGGAAGGAGCAAAGCAGCTCCAATCTGCTCTCCAGGAGTGCACAAATTTGCTTTCTTGCACTAAGCCATGGCTTTGCTTAACATGGTTTGTGAATGGGGGCAGAGAAAAGAGGTGGTCTTGCCCACGTTTGGCTCCGGTCCCACCTACACTTGTCATGCAGCCACCCCACAAATTACCCCCGAATACAAAAAAGTTGCCCACTTCTGTTTTTAAAGTTCTTACGTGCTACTAACCTGTGGTAAATGCATGGAAGCAGACCGACTGCACTAAGTGTACGAATGTCTACAAGCAGTCACGACAACCCTTTTTTGAGCAGTCACAATCACACAGCAATGGTAAGGGCTACAACAACTGTCACATGGAGGCACCACTCCATACACTTGACATCTCTGTGTGATTTCTACAAGTCTACCAACAGCACCATATTCGACCCACAAGCGATTACATGGAGGCGTTAAAAAGTTTTCACTGGGGCAGTTAGAAATCTAAGAGTTCAAGAACACCTACCTCTATAGCCTCTTTTTCAGTGTGTATCTTCCTCCCGGTAAGTAACCTACAAAGCAGGAAATAACAGTCCAGTGTCCTTTTAAAATAAGTATCTTTTGCTAATTAAGATTTTAGCAATAAAATCTATAGTGCACTTTACTGCGGAATATCATCCTCCAACTTTAAATGAGATAAAACTAATAAACGCCACATTGCACAAAGATTCAAACAGTTTCCCATCAAACTGGTCCTCAAAAACAAGAGACATGGTATAACAAGCCCCTATGTTGTATCCTTTGTCTCTGACATAGTATTACGGAAGCTCAAGAGTCTAGCAAGTAGGGAACTTCTAAGGAAGGTTCTAACAACCTTCTGAGCTACTATAAAACCCAAAGTATAATTCTGGCCTCTTTCTTCACCAGCTGACGCTCATTCTTTAACCTATTTCTCATTCTTTAATCTATTTCTGTGTCATGTTTTATACAGTTCTATGAATTTATGGGCTGCCTTGGTTTAACAGATAGAGAAAAGTTTGCATAGAATTCCCTTTTGCACTGTTATCATAGCATATTTCATTTAATTTATTTCAGGTATTTTAGCTGCTTTTTCTGACACAGGGGTACTCGAAGGAGAGTTCAAGGCAAGAAGGTATAATTAATAATTCAAATTTATAACAAAAGTTATAAATTTATATTTCTAAAAGTCTTCTTACTATCTTTGGCAAAGGCCTTCTAATCAAAAGGCTCTGAATGTTGTCTTACTAAGGTGTTATTCAGTGTGATAAATGTATAAGTTTGCCATCACACTAACAAATACAAGAAGTTAATCTATGTTGCTCATCAACCCTTGGCATCTTCTAATCCTCTCAGCTAACAGACCTTGTAAAATAATAGACCCAAACAGCATATGTACTCCATGTTGTTTAAACAATCCCAGCCAAACTAATTTAGCAAACTTACCAAAATTTAGATTTGTGAGCACGTGATTTTATATATGGCAAGAAACATCAATAATGCATTTAATATTAATTTTAATTAATTACAAAATGCAACTTTTCATTTTAATCAGGAAAATAATGAAAACAATTTATTTCTACATCTTTAAAAATATATGAGAAAAACAATACTTACTCAGCCTCAAACTGATTAGGTGTTATTATATCTGCTACAGGCACAACCTTGTCCTTATAAACTGGAAGAAGATCCTTTGGAACATACTGTAAAGAATAAGAAAAATGATATTGGCTTTGGAAAGCTTAAGCAGATTCTTCATTATTCACAGTTTGTTCTAACAAAGTTCAAATCCTCCAAAAACAAATCCATGAATGAGCAGTTATTTTTTCAGCTCAATCCAGAAATTGATAAGCACACTGGTGGGAAGAGATTCACAACTTCCGGTCGGCGCCAGCGCTTAATGGCGGTCCTTGCCTCGAGCTCCGAGGCAGGACTGCTCCGTGAGTTCGGGTCTGACCCGCTACGGCGAGCGGGGGACCCCTAAAATCACAGGTGCTGAAGCCTGTGAACAAGGAGACTCGGCGGGCACCTTTTGCGCCCCCCGGTACTGCAAAAGAGCCTTTTTAAAGGCTCCGGAGCGGCATCGGGAGTGAGCGCGGTGCTGAGAGTCGTAACCCAGCCTGCGGAGTGAAGCCGCGTCGCCATTCAGCGGAGAGCGCCGATTCCTTCCTGAAACTACAATTGGACAATAAAACCCGTGAGTAAGATTGACAGACGGGAACGGGATACTTAAAGTGATTTAAGAAATTCGGCTGAAAACGGGAAAGGCATTAAATAAGGAAGTCTGCCTCCCCGGACTGCATGTTAACTAGAGCAACGAAAGAGCAAGCTGCATTTAAATGAAGGCTAACTTTTTAACTGTCAAAATCTGACATCTGAATTAAACTTCCCCCCAAAGAGCAGGAGAAGGGGGGAAGGAAATTTGGACATTGTAAACCTGCTGGAAATAAATAGAGGGAAAAGATCTTCCGCTGTCAAAACCCTGAGACGGGCTGCCGGAGTAAGGCACCAGGAAAGTGAACTGTCAACTTAAACTGGATACAAAGTTAGGGTTTTGACTGAAATAAAGTTATGAGACTTTAATGGAGTTACTTTGTTGAACTTTTGAGGACATTGAAACTGTAATAAGAACTTTGACTGTGGACTTTTGGACTCTTTGTTTCCTGCCTTATGTTTTTCTGACTTTCTTCTTCTTTAACTGGATACAATTAAATGCTCCCTCTAGAGGACTTTAAGAAACTTGCTACAGTGAGAGAAAAGAGTGGTTTTTTCCACTTGTAAATTTTTCCTGTGGGAACTGACCTTGAGGATATGAGTGGCCAACCAGAAGAGATAACAACCAGGGCAAAAGCGAAACAAATTCAGCAAGCACAAAAGAAAAGGGGTTCGATGCAAGGCACAACACCAGCTGGACAGGAAAAAGTACCAGCTGCATCTATGGAGTCAATGACACAGGCATTGCTGAAAATAAATCAGTCTTTGGAAGCATTGACAAAGCAGACAGCAGAGAACACAAAAAAACTGAACAATTTGACAACAAGATTGGACTTGAACACGGCAAGTATAGCTTCTAATACAGAATCTATAAATAAATTGATCCAGGAAAATTCAGAAACAAGGAAAATTGCTCAAAGTGCAAAAGAGATTGCAGATGAGACAAAGAGGGAGCTTGCACCGATTGCAAAAAAGGTGAATGAACATGACGCAACTTTAGCCTTGTGGGAACTTCAGAGAAAAGAGAGGAACCTGAAGTTAAGGTTGGTTCCAGAGGACGAGAAGGACAGTTTAGTAGAATTTCTCACAGAAAAAATCTCGGAATTTTGGCAGGATGAACTAGAGGAAGGAGAATTTGAAATAACAACGGCCTTCCGGTTGGGCAGAAGACAAGGCAAAAAGCCTAGGGATTGTCTGATTACATTGAGATCTAAAGAAGAAAAGGACAAAATACTGGACTTACATTATCATAAGGCTTTGGAAATTCAGAATTGTCAAGTTCAGATCTTTAAAGACATCCCCAAATATATTTTGGAGGTGAGGGCCTTTTACAAAGATCTGGTCTACCTGCTGAAGAAGAACAACATACCTTTCAGGTGGGAATTCCCACAAGGATTGTCTTTTAACTATACAGGAAAGAAGATTAAAATAAAAACAGTTCAAGATAAAGAACTGTTTTTGGAAAGATACCAGGAGGGCCTTCAGAAAGGAGTGATAGAAACAACAGGAGACAAAGAACTGACAGATATCGCAAATCTTTCGTATGGACTTTTACCGGCGTCAGAGGAAGAACAAAAATTGGGAGCAGTTGGAGGAATAGGTACATAGTAACACAATGTCTCTGCAACTTCTCAGCTGGAATTGTAATGGTCTGAACCTTCCCAGAAAAAGACGCCAAGTCTTTCACATTTTGAAGAGAGAGCAATTGGATTTGATATGTCTACAGGAAACCCATGTGACCAGAATACACAGGAAATTACTTGTAAATAAGAGACTAGGACAAGAATTTATCTCATCAGACAAGGTCAAAAAAAGAGGTGTTGTGATCTACGCAAAAGAGAAATTGGCCCCTAAAATGATATTCAAAGATGAACAAGGAAGATATTTGGCAATAGAAATACAAATCCAAGGAGAAAAAATTATGATATTGGGAGTATATGCACCAAATGAAGGGAAGGCGGAATTCTTCAAGAAGTTGCATGAGACCTTAATGGATTATATGGACTTTAAAATTATAATGATGGGGGACATGAATGGTGTTGTCTCCACTAATATGGACAAGGCACAGAGACAAACAATTTCTAAAGACGGAAGATTACCAAAGACTTTTTTTGAAATGACGGAAACACTGGATTTGATTGACATTTGGAGAGTAAGGAATCCTCTGGAGAGAGAGGGAACTTTCTTCTCTGAAGCAAAAATGACATGGACAAGGATTGACCAAATTTGGGTAACTAGCAGCATGGCACCAAAGGTTAAAAAAGTAGAAATCTGCCCAAAGACTTGCTCCGACCACAATGCCGTGAAGATGGAGATGAAATTAACAACAACTGGAACTTTCAGATGGAGGATGAATGATGCCCTATTCAGAGATGAGGAGATTTATAAGAAGGCCCAAAAAGCTCTGAAAGATTACTTCGAGATAAATTTGAGAACAGATGTGGAGAAAAGAATAATATGGGACGCTAGCAAGGCCGTGATGCGAGGTTTCCTAATACAACAAAATTCCATAAAGAGGAAAAAGCAAAATGAGAGGAAAGAAAAAATCTTGGAAAAAATAAAAGAAGGTGAAAGGAAACTGAGGTCCAAACCAAAGTCTCATGAGATTTTGAGAGAAATAAAGTATCATCAGACGCAATATATGGAATTGATGAATCAAGAGATAGAATGGAAAATAAAGCAAATGAGACAAAGAACGTTTGAATCGGCAGACAAATGTGGGAAACTTCTGTCATGGCAACTGAAAAAGAGACAAAAACTTAACACAGTGACAAGTTTGGAAATGGATGGAAAAATCATACACAAACCAAATGAGATAAGTAATTGCTTTCAAAGTTTTTTCAGGAAATTATATGCACAAGGGCCTGTTGATGTGCAGGAAATAGAAGAATTTATTAAGAAGTATGGACTACCAAAGATCTCAGATCAAAGTAGAATGATTCTGAATGAGAAAATAACAGGACAAGAAATAGAGGGCGCCATTCAGAATATGCAGTTGGGAAAATCTCCAGGACCAGATGGCCTAACGGCCAGATATTACAAGGCATTGAAGGAATGGATAATACAACCACTGAAGGAGGTTTGTAATGAAATTTTAGAAGGGAAAAAGGCACCTGAATCGTGGAAAGAAGCTTTTATAACACTCATACCGAAAACAGAGACTGAAAAGAACCAGGTTAAAAACTACCGCCCAATTTCATTACTAAATGTGGATTACAAAATTTTTGCAGACATTTTAGCAAAAAGACTGAAAAGAGTGCTGATAGGGGAGATCCATAAGGACCAAACAGGCTTTCTCCCAGGGAGACACATGTCGGACAACGTGAGGAACATTATAGACATTTTGGAACTACTGGAGGTGAATATCAACAGAAAGGCAGTTTTGATTTTTGTGGACGCGGAGAAAGCCTTTGATAATATTTGTTGGACCTTTATGAAGAAGAATCTCCAAGGGATGGGGGTAGGCCAAGGTTTTGAAAACGGTATAGGTGCTATATACTCTAAGCAAAAAGCAAAGTTGATTGTGAACAATGTGGTTACGGAAGAAATACCTATAGAAAAGGGTACACGACAGGGGTGCCCAATATCCCCGTTACTTTTTATAATAGTCCTGGAGGTTTTGTTAAATATGATTAGAGGGGACCAATTGGTTAAAGGGGTTCAGGTCGGAGCGAAAAACTACAAGCTAAGGGCATTTGCAGATGACCTTGTATTGACTTTGCAACAGCCAGATACTAGTACTAAAAGAGTACTAGAACTGATTGAGACATTTGGTCAAGTAGCAGGATTTAAACTGAATAAGCAGAAAACTAAGGTGTTGGAGAAAAATTTAACAACGGCAGAAAAAGAGAAATTTCAGAGGGAAACAGGTTTAGAAATAACAAAAAAAGTGAAGTACCTGGGTGTGAACTTGACTTCTAAAAATGTGAATTTGTTTAAAGACAATTATGACAAATGTTGGAATGAGGTGAAGAAAGATCTAGAAATATGGTCACGACTGAGACTTTCCTTGTTAGGCCGAATTGCTGTCATCAAGATGAATGTATTGCCTAGAATGTTGTTTTTGTTTCAGACACTTCAGATTATAGATAAAATGGACTGTTTCAAGAAGTGGCAAAAAGATATATCAAAATTTGTCTGGCAGGGCAAAAAGCCCAGAATAAACTTTAAGATTTTAACTGATGCAAAAGATAGAGGGGGGTTTGCCCTGCCGGACCTGAGACTCTACTATGAATCGGCAGCGTTTTGCTGGCTGAAACAATGGCTGCTTCTTGAGAATACAGACATTTTGGATCTGGAAGGGTACGATAATAGATATGGTTGGCATGCATATATATGGTATGACAAGGTAAAGATTCACAAAGGTTTTAAAAACCATATTGTTAGGAAAGCATTATATAATGTTTGGATAAGATATAAAGATCTATTAGAAAGTAAAACTCCCAGGTGGCTATCACCAATGGAAGCTAAAGAGACGAAAAAACTTAATATGGAGTCCAAATGGCCAAAATACGGTGAAATCTTAGAGCAAGATGGTGAAAGGCTCAAATTACAGAGTTATGATAAATTAAAGTCTAAAGTACGAGATTGGTTGCACTACCTTCAGATAAACGAGGTATTTAAACAGGACAGGAAAATAGGTTTTCAGATGGAGAGGTCGAAATTAGAAACAGAATTGTTAGAACCCAATACTAAGAACTTGTCAAGAATGTATAATTTGCTGCTGAAATGGAACACACAAGATGAAACAGTAAAGTCAGCTATGATTAAATGGGCACAAGACATAGGCCATAACATTATGTTTGAAGACTGGGAAAGGTTGTGGAATACTGGTATCAGGTTTACGGCCTGTAACGTTTTGAGAGAAAATATAATGAAAATGATCTATAGATGGTATATGACCCCAGTCAAACTTGCAAAAATTTACCACTTGCCCAATAACAAATGTTGGAAATGTAATGAAAGTGAAGGTACCTTTTATCACCTTTGGTGGACCTGCCCGAGGATTAAGGCCTACTGGGAAATGATCTATAATGAAATCAAAAAGGTCCTTAAATGGACATTTCCCAAAAAGCCAGAGGCTTTTCTCCTGGGCATGGTGGGCCAATTGGTGTCAAAGAAGGACAGAACTTTTTTTATGTATGCTACCACAGCAGCAAGGATTCTTCTGGCAAAGTATTGGAAGACGCAGCAGCTACCTACTCTGGAAGAATGGCAAGTGAAGGTGATTGACTACATGGGAATGGCTGAGATGACCGGCAGAATCCGTGACCAGGGGAAGGAGACAGTGGAAGAAGACTGGAAGAAATTTAAAGTATACCTTAAAAACTGTTGTAAAATTCAAGAGTGTTGAGATGTTATGGTGTTAAGAAATAGAGAATTGCAGCTGTATATCATAAATTTAAAGGAGACATAATGAAGATGAATTAACAATGAAATGAAGGGTTGCTGTTAAAAGGAGAAAACAAGGATGCAGAAAAAGGGAGGTATGGGGAAGTCCGGGAAATAAGGTGAAGGAGAATGAGTTTATGAAATTGTATATGTTTACTTGTTTGTATGTTTTGTTGTGTTTTGTTGTTTGTTTATAATATATGTTTGGAAAACTAATAAAAAAATTATTATAAAAAAAAAGAGATTCACAACTATTACTGCACTTGAAGATTTCATATGAGGGAGTGCTCAAAATTTGCTACATGCTGGCATCTACATAAAAATACCGACAATCCCCAGAGGAATACTGTGAATGCCCCAATGTGTGTGTATAAGTGTGTGTGATTGTCAACATTTGCACATGAGTGTCAATAGCAGGCATAGGCAAACTCAGCCCTCCAAATGTTTAGGGACTACAACTCCCATCACCCCTAGCTAACAGGACCAATGGTCAGGGATGATGGGAGTTGTAGTCCCAAAACATCTGGAGGGCCGAGTTTGCCTATGCCTGGTCAATAGTAACAAAATTCTACACACAGTTCCAGCAAATTCTGCTATTCTGCTGCAGCAGAAAGAAAGGCTGCTGTGGCGTGGGGGAGGGGGGCGCGGAATCACCTATATTTTTTTTTTAGACAAGCTGCTTTCCGTAAATGGCTTTCCATACAGAGTAGCCACCATGCAGTTGCACTTCAAGCAGCCAGCACACCACACATTCCACACATGCAGACAGAGTTTTCGTTCCCTGTTATACTGGTCCAGTCTGTATCTATGTCCTGAAGAAATAGGGTTTCTTTTGGTATAACGTTATTCATTAAGATGGGCCAAGAGTGAGATGATTACCAACCATATAGCCTTCCCCACTCCACTTGTCACCCATCACAGGATCGCATACTGAAAGAGAAAGTTAAAATTGTTAATGCAGATGCAATAATGCCACCGTATAAGAACACATTTAAGTATGAAGAGCCAAGAGATCATAACCATGCCAGGCTCATTGAAAACCTCCATGGTAGTTACAATAAACTGTTTTGATCTTTGCTAAAACACACACACACACACACACACACACACACACACACACACACACAAATCTTTGTACAGGATCCATAAAAGGATAGAAGGATTATAGGCTGTGAATCTGTCACTCATACATAGAGGGACCAAATGGTCAGGCAGCAGCAACTTGAACAGGCCCTCTTAGAACAGTTTGAAAGCGATGTTAACCTATATTGATTCCAGCAAACAAAGTCTTGTCTCATAGCTCCAGGATATCAGGCAAGACTTAAACAGCTAATGTAACGAAAGTTATTCAGTGACCTTTGAATCTGAATTCTCTCTAGCGAATGCTCCAGCACTCAGTTGCCTCTTTGAAATGAGAGCAGCTAAGTCAAGGCAGCAAGTTCCACTATAACATCAGAGGAGATCAGTCTCTTGTTGCCAGACAAAACACCCATGAGCTGTGAACTTGCTAATGCCCTTTTATTGTCACTACAGCGCTGCTAAGAGATTTCTCTGGTGTCCCAGCTGGTGACATCAAAACTAATTTACTCACAATAAATATCATGATCTATTTTTTATATACTACCAATGCCATAACCACTTTTGCCTTCCCTGAGCCTTTAGAGTTATGTTCAGGAGGGCCACCAATATCTTCCGTCTGTGAGATCTCCCTAACTACATAATGTAAAGTGAACAATTTGTATATTAGAAACTTACCATATACCAAATTGGAGTTCTGTTGTTTTAGCTCTTGAACAATATCAACCACCATTGCAAGGAATGATTTGTCTCTTGTGTAGCCTTTGAAGGGATAAGAGGGGAAATTAAGATTATGTTGGGAAAGTATTTTCCACACCCAATTTCTGTTCAGTGGCAGCATCTCTATGAATTGGCCTGCAGTTGTCACTTCTATAAATTGGGGTGAGTTTGCTATATTAGAGTTTATCTGCCTGGACATGCGGAAGGACTCTTAAGCCAATCTTTTTTCATAGGTCTAAGAGATCAAAGCAAAACACAAACACAGAAACCACTATAAGCTTCCAAGCAGTTTTTCTGCTAACAAAATCATTCTCTTCCCTTGAGGAAAGACAACCAAATTTTCTGTCCAGGATGCAGATTGGCTGTAGTGGTTTTTACTTTCTTCCATGTGTGACTCAGTCATCACAAATTGAAGTGCCACAGGTCACATTTTGAACTTCATTTAGTTTTTCAGCTTTGCCAGTTCAAGTGCAGAGAATGGTAAATGTTATAAATGTATTCTTTATCAAGGGTAGAGCCCCTACTCTTGCAAACACACACACACACACGTCAAACGGAACCCTCCCAATTTCTCCCCCACAACCCCTCCATAAACCAGAGTGAGCTGAAGGGAGTAATCACAGAAATGTAGAGTTGGAATGGACCCGAAGGATCATCTAGTCCAATCCCCTGCAATGCAGGAATCACAGCTAAAAAAAATCCCTGACAGATGACCATTCAAGCTCTGCTCAAAACCTCCAAGGAAAGAGAGTGTGTCACCTTTCACGATAGTCTGTTCCACAGTTGAACAGCTTTTACTGCCAGAAAGTTCCTCCTAATGCTTAGTTGGAATCTCCTTTCTTGTAATATGAATCCATTGGTTTGAGTTCTACCCTCTGGAGAAGCAGAAAACAAGCTTCCTCCATCTTCCATGTGACAGCCCTTCAGATATTTGAAGATGGCTATCATATCTCCTCTCAGTCTTCTCTGCTCCAGGCTAAACATGTCCAACTCCCTCAGCTGTCCCTTATATGGCTTAGCTTCCAGACCTTTTATTATCTCGGTCATCCTCCTCTGCACACATTCCAGCCAGAACCTTACATTTTTCCTACTGAAATATATTTTGTTAGTTTTGGCTAAGTTCTCCCATCTGCAAGCTGCAGCCACTCAGATCAAGCACCCACCCATAAGGGGCTTGTTGTGAGGCAAAGTGAATGGCACCTCAGAAACCCTGAATGAGTACATAAATTTACTGTATAAGATGGCCGTGACTAGAATAGATGGTTTGCTATTCTGCAAAACCAAATGAAGCAAGAACTCCCCAGCCCCCACCTCTGCTCTTCAACACTGTTGAGTTCTAGTGGGTAATTCAGATGAAATTCAGAACAAACTTTGCCCTGCCTATATAGGAGTGACCCTTATACATTTTACTCAAGTTATTCATTAGTTTAGCAAGATTACTTTAGTGAATAATTTAAATGTCTAGTCATCATTCCTTAGAGAGTTTGGAAATATGGCCTAAGTTATATCCATGCCATACATTTAAAGCACTCTTACACCACTTCATGAAGAATCCTGAAAATTGTAGTTTGTTGAGGGTGCTGGGAATGGTAGCTCTGTGAGGCCATCACCCTTAACATACCAGAGCTCCCAGAATTCTTTGCGGGGAGCTATGCCTGTTAAAAGTAGTGTAAATGTATGGTGTGGCAGTGACCTTAGTCTTAGGTCTAATCAAGACATAACAAGAGACACTAGGGAGACCTGAGACAAAATGTATTGTGAGGGACAAGGAGCAGCTGCTGCTCTGTATGTTTTCAAACAACATATAGTACCAAAAAAAAAAAAATGCAGTATGATGTCACCACACTCTGAAACTCCTCATTCTCATCCCCTACCAGCCAATGATGTGAGACGGTGGCAAGGAGAAGGCCCGTGCGATAACATCACATGCCGCTGTTTTAATAGGCATTATAAAGCAAAGAGCACAAAAACAGCAGCAACACCATATCTTTTATAACAGCGGCTTTAGTTCTTTAGTCACAATGTGTGATACTGAAAGTAGAGACCAAAGTCACCACATGTAGTAGAAGCTGATAAAAAATTTTTTTAGCAAGCTTGCCTGAACATGTAAACAAAGTTGCGTATAACTGCATTTAAATTTTGATTATTTTAATTGTATATTGTTTACAGCTGCTTTATGCATGCTGCTTAGAGATTTTTTGATTAAATAGTTTATATATTTCTCAATCTAAATAGATAAATAAATAAATTGTATCGCTCTTAGGTATTAGACTAGCAATCCAAACTGGGTTCATTGGGATGTGTCTGTGTAGGGTGCCGTGTCCTGGGCCAATATTTTCAGGAAATTTTTATTGTTCTCTCTTCCCAAACAATAAACAGGGCCAAGACAATGAGCAAAAATAAAGATTAAAATTAGAGTTTTAACCTCTATAACCAGCAAGCACAATGTATTAGTCAATGAATGTCTGAAATGTTATTTGTTTCACTGGTGCCATACTCTCCTCCATCAAAGCTTCTTTTCCCCACTTACACACAACTCCCTGAAAATATAGTTCCTCACAACTTACGCTTTCCTGAAAAGCTCTGAATATGGACACAGAGTAATACCTTAAAAATCAACTTTAAATGATATAGACTTTCCAGTCTCGAAATTACCTCAATTATTTCAAACTATACTTTAAAAAAAGCAACCCTAAGCCCAGAAAGAAGCAGGATAAGAAATAAAATAAAAATAATCAATAGTGCAGGTAGAAAAATAGTTTAGCTGGCCAGCTGTGGTTGGTAAAAGAAAGCAATTCTGTGAAGCTATTCTGTCATTTTGCACATTAAGATTTTCCTCAGGGGGAAAATTAAAAAGGTCTTCAAAACAAATGGAATCTGTTTATGCTGAAAATTCATTGCCACATCAGTGCAATCTCATTCACTTTGTTATTAAATATCTCCTTTACCTCCAAGAACTCCATGGAAACCAGAGAAGGGGGAAATAAACTGTCAGTTGTGCAATACCCTTCATGGCAGAGTAGCCTTTATGGGCGATAATTCTGGACCTGTATCATTAAATTTCCCCGTTATCCCCGGTTTTGAAACCACCTCCCTTCTTGAGGAAGTTATATAAATCAATATGGCAATCAATTTCATCTAGCAAGTTTATAACAAGCCTATTCACTGCAGTAAGGAATACAGAAAATGAAATTTAAAACATATGCACTGTATGCATTGAGGTGAAACTATGTTATTAATAATAATCTGCAGAAATGTGAGCGAGGGTATTTTGCTGGATGCAAAGCTTTATATTACAAGCTTCCTGCTGAGGTTGCCTTTTAAAAATGCTTCTCCTAGAGAGGTAATGCAGACATAAGACTGAGTTATCTCTTAACCACGTTTAAGAGACTGAGAGAAGGCCACCTAGGACCCTGTTTGCCTTAACAACAGCTATGGAATCATTTTACCCTCAGCATACGTATTTCAGGTTCTTTAGTCGCCACGATAACACTCTCGCAAAAATTAAGAAGCTTACCTGTAAGTACATAATCGTAATGATTTACATTGTTCAGTTTCAGTCCTTCATATAGTTCATGAAGTTCATCTGAATTTAACACCTGCCCCTTCCAGTGATCATAACCTGAGCAAAGAAACAGACCAAATAAAGTTACAGGTTGGATGGGTTAAGTAAGACTACACCTGGTGGTGTATCCCTCTGGAACTGATCTGTACCTTTTTCTCATTTAGATTGTGCTAACCCTTGCTGTAATGTCTGTGTGGGGAATTATCTCAGGTTTGGAGAATTGTGCAGCAGGTGGTGGCAGGTAAATTGACAGCTTGAGGAATGGATACCCATGAACACCCAGCTGGTACTACACATATTGAGGTCTGCAGAGCTACCTTTAGGCTGTGGCTACAAAGGTCATTTGCTCAAGACCTCTCCCCTGAGGGGATCCTTCAAGGCCAGAGGATGTTCACACTAGGTATAGAATGTAATATAGACTGTGGGTGATATGTAATATAGACTGTGGGTGAATGTAATATAGACTGTGGGTGAATGTAATATAGACTGTGGGCAACCCAATCATTCCTGGTGATGAGTGGAGGAAGAGTGCTGCCTTCACTTTCTGATGGTGTCCACACTACTAGTCCACCTCTACTCACCCAAAGACCCATAGCAGGCTGCAGTGTTCAGAAAGCCCTGTGGGGTAGATGGAATCAGGTCATAGGTCATATCTGACCTACAAGACAAAGGTCAAAAATCTAATGACACATATTTACATCCAGGCCTTTGGGGAAAACTGACGTGTTTCAAGTCAGTTATATTTATATTGTCTATTGATGATTGGTTTATTGTTAATTTTGAATTCATGTTTGGTGTGTATTATAGTGTTTTGTTAGATTAAATGTTACTGTTTTAATTCCATATACTGTAAACTGCCCTGGGATCTTAACTGATGAAGGGCAGTTTAAAAATGGAATATGCAAATAATAAATAAAGCAATGGCAGTTACAGCCTGAACACTGGAAACAGATGGAATGATTGACTCCACAGCATCTCCAGCACAATAATCTCATTAAAACTGAAATTGTTGTGGCAGGTTTTGTAGAGGAATGAGTGAGAGCACTAAAACAAGATTAATCTAGTAATTTCTGACCCAATAAATGCATTTTTGAAAGGAAATAAATCAACATTAATAGTCCTGTTATTATTTTGTGAAAGCAACTGTGGTTTTCCAAATATAGAATTAGAGGAAAACCAATCACATTCCACAAGTGAAAGAACAAAAGGGTGTTCCTCAAGCCACCTGAGGCATGAAATCTACCATCTGGCTATATTAATTCCCCACATTAGCTTTGGTTAGGGAGTTCACCCACCTGCTTTCTCTGACCCCTTTTATAAACGTCATTGCATTTTGGCATCTGATGGTACAAAAGTTCAAAGATGAACAGAAGCGGTGCCAAGAACCCTTTTGAATAAACTCTGAGAGGGAGGGAAATAGCCAAAGAGCATTCAAGGACACAGTGTCCCATTGTGACTGGCAGGAGGTACTGGGCAAGCAGTAAATGGGTCAGCATACTATAATATGTTATCCTTGGAAACGAAGGTTCAAATTTCCACTCTTGTTCCTCCAAAAAAAAAAAGGGGGGGAACATTTTCCTTAATTCTCCAACACAGTTCTGCAAATTTATTAGCCTTGTTCAAATCAGAACTGGTACTGCAACAACAGGCATCGAGGATAGCTTTGCACATTACTTTAAACCTCTCTACTCTATGGTCTTCTTGGTGCTTGGGTGCTGAGCTCCTGATCTGTTGTTAACCAATAAATACAACCATCCTGCCTCCTGGTATTAGGGTAGACCCGTTGCTAGGTTCCTCACACAGGATGCTACAGAGCCAAAGCCCACAGGAGGCTACAGAGGATGTCTGAGTTAGCATCAGCATTCTGCAGCACGCCTCAGTGGGAAATGTTTGGCTGGAAGCATGTGCTTAAGCCGTATTCAGGAGTGAGAATTCCTGTTGTGAGAAATTCCTGTTGTGGATCCCAGTCCAACTGCATCCCCGAATGTGAAATTAAACAATGCATCTGAGTTTACAACACACACCTGTTTTGCTTTTCAAGCATAGGAAGCAAACCAAATGAGTCCTTTATATGCATGCTAATAACAAGCCTGCCAAACTGTTAAGAGCAGGCCAGAAGACTATCAGGGTCTATTTCCTCCCCCTTCCCCCAAAACATTTATATTCGTACACATGAGAGAGAGCGTGACAAACTGAAACTGTCTCCCCCTTTCCCCGTTTCTTCTTCTTTTAAAAAAAGAGCATCTACGTAGGCTGTGTGACAAGCTCCTTTTATTCGAGCGTGAAGCACAATGTCGTTTGGAGGTGAGTCACTCACTCTAATCATACAGTAAATACTCCTCGCCAGGCAACTTAGCCAACAGAGCTCCCTCAGGGCTCCAGCTTAAAATGCTCTCTCTATATCAGGAGGATTAAAAGAAGGATATTCTTGAGCATCACAAATAGCATATCAACATCTTCCTTTTTGTTAATGTAAGGAACAGAGTGATTCAGGGAAAAAAAACAAGTGTCCATCGGAAGATGTTTTAATATATGCTCCTTATCTCTCTCCTCCCTCCCTCGCCAATATCAGGAAGTCAAATTTTTTGAAGGAACCATGAAGTCTATGTATGGGCAGGTGCTTATAGTGACAGATGACAGTGTCAATTTGCCACTGGGTAGCCTCAGACAAATTACTACCAACCTTAGTACCTCTTAGCAGTCTTATGGGGATAAAAAAAAGCTACCTCTACAGATGCTAGCCCAGGCTCCTTGGAGGAGAACCAAGGAGGAAACATAATATACTCTAAGCATTTGATTGTCAAATCCTTCATCACTGGAGAGATAAGGGGCTGCTGTTTCCAAAACTTTTAGAAGCAAAGTAGTTTCCCCTTAAAACATGTGTTTTTTTAATGGCCACTGGAAAAGGAGGAAGAAAGATTTGACCCACTGTGTGAAGCAGCGGCAGAACGTGCTTTAATGGCACCTGGGGCACACACGCTGGGAGGGCGGGGATTGGAGGGTGAAAGGAGCACACCGCACGCCAGCCCAGCCTTCGCTGCCAACACTGCCAGAGCAACACCAGGCCCAAGCTCCTTTGCAAGGCTGGAGTGATCAGACTCAGATGAAAATCTGATGCAAGAGTCTGTTCTTTATGCTCCTTTGATATCGCATAAAGCTTGCTCCTCTCAATACCAACAAATAAAGAGAGGTAACACAATCCTAACCTTGCCTAGGGGACCATCAGAGCAGAAGAGCCACCACCACATCCGAAGCCTTGTTGGCTCTTGTTGGTCTGGGTGGAAGGTGAGAGGCGGTTTCCTTGTTGTTGTTGTTGATGATGTTGTTGTTTTGCAGCACCAGTTCCAGGCTGGCACAACAGAGAAGATCCATCTGACAATGGACCAGCATAGGAATCAGTGGATTTCTGTTCGAGTCCAGCTCTATCCCTGAAATGCCCTGTTTGGGGGCCTGACACTGACTACTGTTAAAACACCATTCAGGTCTCCACAGCAGCAAGAGAGAGACCAGCACAGAGACCAAATCTAATCCCTCCTCAAGTCATCAACATTGGGGAGTTGGGAATGGTCCCTGAGTGTTCTGTATTCTTAACATTTATTTAGGATTATACATAAGAATGCCAGAGGAACCTGCTTGACCGGGTCAGAGGCCAATCTAATCCAACAACATGCTCTCACAGTAGATTTCATATGTGCCTACGGTAGGTTTGGGGAACCTTTGGTCCTCCAGATGTTGCAGAATTACATCCCAGCGAGAATGGCCAATAGCCAGGGATGATGGGAGTCGTAGTTTTCAACATCTGGCAGGTCAAAAGTTTCCCTATCTAGCCTCTAGGAAGTAGGCCCTGAGACCAGCAGCACTTTCTCCACCTACAATTTCCAACAAGGGTATTCAGACATGCTGTCACCCTCTTTACAATCATCCAAGTTAGTGGCCATCACTACCTCTTGTGAGAGAGAATTCCATAACACTTTATTTTGTCTGCCCTGAATCTTCCAACATTTCTACTTCTAGCATTATTAGATATGGAGAAAACCTTTTTGCTATCCACTTTCTCCACACCATGTCTAATCCTATACAACTCTCTCATGTCCCACCCCCGCCTTATTCATATTTTTTTCTAAACTAAAAAGTCCCAAATTCTGTAATCTTCAGTCCAACCCCTTAATCATTTTAGTTGCCTTTTAATGCACCATTTCCTGCTCCACAATAGGTGTTTTGAGGTGAGGCAACCAGCACTGTACACAGTATTCCAAGTGTAATCACACCATAGATTTGTATAATGGCATTATAATGTTGGCTTATTTTCATTTCCTGTCCTAATGATCCCTTGCATGGACCCCTAGCAGCTGCCACACTTGGTCAACATCTTCACTGAGCTATTCACTTTGACCCAAAGTTCTTATTCCTGGTGAGTCACCACAAGTTCAGATTCCATGCGTGTATATGTTGAAATTAAGATCCCCCCCCAACAATGTGTATCTCTTTACACTTGCTTACCACTGAATTGCATTTGCCATTTTACCACCCACTGACTCAGTTCAGAGAGATCCTTTGTAATCACTTTTAACTACCCTGAACAATTTGGTACCATCAGCAAACTTGGCTACCTCTCTGCTCATCTCCAACTCTAAATCATTTATGATCCAAGTTAAAAAGCACAGGTCCCAATACTGATCCTTGGGAGACTCCACTTTCTGCATCCCTTCATTGGGAAAATCCACCCCCTTTTCCATAAACTAAAAGCATCTCAAGAGAATAGATATATGTATATACTTACCTGTATGATTTGAAAACTGGACAGAGTTCACAGTATCTATTTCAAAGCCCAAAACCTGCAAAAAACCAAATAATACTTATAAACAAAATTCCTCCTTATTCTAGGGCAGCAACATATTTCTGTGGCCCACTATGCATTTAAGTACAGTATGTTGATTACTAAAAGCTGGGTAATTAAGCAAACCCATAAACAATAAAACGCTTCTGCTGGAAGTCTCCCTTCTTCTGCCAACACACGCAGTTGAAAGATACTGATGAATAAACTAAAATAGAAGGTAAACAGGGCAAACCTGTAAAGACAGTATTACAGCAATAATAAGGACAGGAAGAGAAAAAGGTAGAAAATATGAATGTGCAGTTCTCAGGATCCCAAGGGCCTAAAAGGGGAAACTCTTGGAGGATGAGGGAAGGTTGTTTACAGAAACATTAATATTTTGTAAGAGTGCAAAATCTAATAAACAGCATTCCTTTGCAGTGACTATATTTGATATTGCACAGAATTATGACGCAACATGCAAAAAACCCCTCCCCGAAAACAGCCAAGCCTGGGAGGGAGGAGCGGGTGAGATGGATATGTGTATGGTGTTGTAGCAAAGAGGTAAATGACTCTTTGCAGTAGCAATAGAGATAAGAGTAAATACCGTATATATTTATCTGATATTTCAAGGCATGCTACATTTCCATCCATTGCTTATGTCTTAGGCTGCAAATATGATGGAAACATCTGACATTTAATATATTTGCTCTCAAACCTCTCTTGGTAGGAATAAAATAGTCTTCAAAATAAAAGCTACTATATACAGCAGAGTGAGTCACAGGGAGACAATAGTAATAGTGCAGAAATCGTGTATGATCCATTTTCAAGCAATTTGCTGGCAGTTTAATTGAAGCTTTGCTAGGGGGACATTGTGTCTTCCTTGACATGACAGGGTAGCCCCTTCACGTAAATTTAAGCCACATAACTAGGCTATGCCATACTAAAGTAAGGCTCATATCAGATTCACTTACAAAATATCAGCAGATTGCAATATCTTTTTTTCTGTGGCCTAGGGAAGTGTACAGATTTGATGAATCTGCACCAACCACTGATAAAGCTGGCTTCTTGGTTCTTTGCAACCACAGCTGCATTAACTTTAAAATATAGGGACGGCAGTTTATTAAGAGCCCTCATGCCACTCCAATAATTTGCTCTCACACAGGCAGCTGTGTGAATCTGGCTGCCCAAGATATCCATGCACACATATCCTGACACCATCTATAGTAAGGTATACAGCCCCCTGGATACTTCCCAGCAAAGGAAAACTAATGTGAACTGCTATTACTGCAGGAAAACACAGAACCATAGAGCTGGAAGAGATTTGTTTGTGTACTGGCCACAACAGTCTTCAAAATGAGACTATTGCAATGCATTTGACGTCTGAAGACTACACTGGTATAGAACAAGGCAGCTAATTGGTACTAGCCACAGGGAACATCTCACCAGTGTTAAAATAGCTCCACTGGCGTCCTATTTGTTTGCAACCAATATGAAAGTGCTGATTTGATAACCTCTAAGAGACCGTTATAGCTTGGGACCTGGATATCTGAAGGACCACCTATTCCCATACAAACTTTAAATCGATAGGTAGGTAGATAATATTTATTAATGTCCAACACTTAATAAAAAATACTGGTAGGTTGAGACAAAATGGCACTTGGAGAAAGGCTGTTTTTGAGCTCTGTGGTTTATTGTATCTTATTTTATTTTAAAGTTTATTTGTTTTAATAAACAAGTAAACACGAGGGGAGCTACAGCCCAAAAGTATCTGGAGTGCAGCATGCTGGCACCTGTGATCTAGGATAAAATCAATCACACTTACCATTAATTGTGACATATCTGGACTTTTCCTAGATCAGGGCCCAAGTTAGTACAGCTTTCCTAATTGATTGTTTTTAAAAATGCAGTATTAAAAGTTACTGGTTTTAACATTTTTTAAGCTCCTTGTGTGACCAACGTTAGTATAGCTCCTTTACTAGTGAAATCTCATTGTGAGCAATTAGAATAATGTAAGTCAGCTGAAAGCCTGAGTGGAATAAGCAAGCACTTATGAAACTGGATCCATATGGTCATTTCACAGAGTTTAATTGAAGAAGAAAGAATTCAAGCTGGTAACCATTTGTCACGGTTCACTAAAGCAAGCAGTAGCTATAGTTATTGCCTGATAAATGCAGTGAAGGCCACCTCAAAATCACCACTGATTGCCTCATAGACCGTTGCGATGTGATGAATGCCCTTTAGCCAGGCACTGAATATTTCACTTGTCACTTACACATGCACTCAAAACTTTATGCACTTTTGAAGTCTATGTGCTCCATACGGTATAGGAAGATGTGTGTGTTTTACATAATTCCATGCAAGCTTGCTTTCTTCAAGGACCATTTGAAATTCAACCAATATGTGTCTGTCTGCCTGTCTCTTCAACTTAAGAACAGCGGAGACAAAGAAAGTGAAAGTGCTGAGGAAATAATTGCAGAGCCAAAATAATAAAGAACTCTAAAAGATAAAACATTTCCATAGTAGCTCCTTAAAATTCTAACTCCGTCTTAAAGACAAGCTGGCCACCACCAAAGGGGGGGGGGGGGAAACACCATTCTACTTTGCAGTGAATTATTGCTTTGATTAAATAGTCATTAGAAACAAGAAGAATGCATTACTGCGATTTCTAATAGATACAGATAGCCAAACAAGTAAGCCACAGCGTTTACTGGTTGTACAACAGCAGGTTTAAATTGCCTCGTATATCAGTGTCTGAATGCAATCCAAAAGGTTTGAAACTATAGAGAAAGCCTATACACAAGCCCAAGTCTATACAAGCCAGGATCCATCTCCACTACCCATCTCATGAGTACAGGGGTAATGCATCTCATTTCGCCGCCTGAGGCAAAACCGGAAGTGCCACCCTGCTGCCGCCACTACCACCATACCTGCTGCTGCTGCCTCTGCCTACACTCCCTGCTTTGCTGCCATGTGCCCTGCTGCACTGGTCACTGGCAGAGAAGAGTTGCCGCCATCAGTGCCCTGCAATCCTTGGATGAAGGGTGGTATAGAAATTTAATAAATAAATAAAACCTTTTGGCCTGGTCCCCCTTCATATTCCCAATTCCAATAACTGAACATATGAACTCAGTGATCCAGCTTATACAGAGTCAAAACATTAGTCCATCTAGCTCAGTATTGTTTACAATGACTGTGAGTAGCATTCCAAGGTTTCAAACGGGAGTTTCTCCCAGCCATGTCAGGGACTGAATCTGGGATCTTCTGCTTGTAAAACATGTAACATTTTACTAAGCAACAGCTTTTCCGTAGTACAACTTGTATGGAGGGGAGAAGAGAATGGCTGATTGGAAGACTGGGAAGGTAATCAGGTCTGCTTTTGATGGGGAGGCCTGAGCAAAAGGAATTATTTTCTTCATTTCAAAATTATTGTTACAAGCCACCTATTCTGACATCCACCCTGTGTAATAACTGGATAATAATATCATACTACCAAGCATGGGTTTATTGTGGTCTGTTTCTGACAGTGGCGCAGCGTGGGGGGTGCAGGGGGGGCCGGCTGCACCGGGCGCAACATCTGGGGTTAGGGCAAATCCACAGGTTAGGGGGTGCAAATCCACGGGTTAGGGGACGCAAATTACTTGCCTTGCCCCGGGTGCTGACAACCCACGCTACGCCACTGGTTTCTGATAGCTGGAGGTTTTAGTTTTCCCAACAGGACTCACGTGACTAGATCACATATCTTTTGACAGAATTGTTCAGAAAATTACATACCCATTTTTAAACGTTCATCCATCTCAGCAATGAGTAAACATGTGCTAATCTGAGTACCTAGTCTGATGACTGCAGACCACACAGGGCCAAGATGAGCAATGTCTGCAATGCATTCAAATACTGCAAGCGACAATGCACACTACAAGCCAGCCACCACCAGCCTTTAATAGCATCATTAGATGCAACTAGTCACTTCTATGCCCGAAACAAGCTCCCAATTTTCCATCTCTTCACCAAACAAAGTTAAAGAGGAATATTTTAAACTTTGGAAGGATGGAACAAAATAAAAAACTTCCTTCCAGTAGCATTTTAGAGACCAACTAAGAATCAGCTGAAAAGTTATGGCACAAAAAACCAAAAACAAAATAGAGCCACATCAAAAACTGTTTGCCAAATCAAAGTAGTACCACAGTTTGTTTTAATCCACAGCATGCTTTAATCTCAGTTCCTCGATCCCCTGATGGAAGTGGCAAGCTGCAAGGCAGAGTGGCACTTAATTGCATGTCAACTGCATTGCAGGATCGTGACACAGCATAGCTCCTCTACTGGAACATTCCAAAGTTCTCAAAGTGTTCCAATACACGTCACCAAATTAGGAACAGTATTTAAGAGAGTGCATCTGAACAAATACGCCTGTCTTCAGTTTATCAGGATAGCAGCTTAGTTGTTAATTTCCAGACAGAAACTACAAAATACAATTAGACGGCTTTGTGCAAGGCAGTTTTACATAAATCATTGGCGTTCCAAGTGTTGTCCTGCAGGCAAGGTTTTTCTTTAGAAGCCTAAAATTTTATAGTAAATCACTCAAATCATTTGAAAGTTATTGTGCTTTAAAGGCAACAATGGTTTCAGATACAGGAGATTTCTTTCTTTCTTATTAAGTTGCGCATCTCAATATGTGAACTTTTTTCTTCAGATTAAGCAGCTGTCAAGTAGGATTAACAATGCATTCTGAGATTACTGAGTCTCATATCTTCAGCCAGAACTTTTTCTTCTGTATACTCTCCCCTGCCCCCAGCTTTGGTTGCCACCTCCCCTCCCCCACGCCACAGCAGCCTTTCTTTCGGCTGCAGCAGAATTGCAGAATTTGCTGAAACTGTGTGTGTAGAATTTTGTTACTATTGACCAGGCATACGCGAACTCGGCCCTCCAGGTGTTTTGAGACTACAATTCCCATCATCCCTGATCACTGGTCCTATTAGCTAGGGATGATGGGAGCTGTAGTCCCAAAACATCTGGAGGGCTGAG